CATTTATCATGGCTGTTTGGGCTGGTGTTTTTCTCAGTACCATTACAAAGAAAAAGAAAAATCTCTTACAGCTGGCTCTTCATCAAAAGTGGAAAATGAACTTAGGTAAAGAGGAAATTGTGGGAGATGTATTTATTTGTGGCCATGGAGAATACTCCTGTGGATTCAGTGGACCAGCAGTGCATCTTGCCTGAGTGGTTAGGGGCACAGACGCTAGAGCCTGATGGCCTGGGTTCAAGCCCCGGCTCTGCTACATACTGGCTGTGTGGCCTCGTGCAAGTCACTGAATGTTTCTGGCCTCCGTTTCGTCATCTGTAAAGCAGAGGTGGTGTCAGTCCCCGCCTCACAGAGTGTCAATGATTTTCTCCCTGTGGGGCTCTCGAGGTGTGAGCTGCTATTATCTGACACAGGGCTGGCTCCTGTCATGTATGTGGCCTGCCCACCCTGGGCGTCCACAGCAGCGGTTATCAACTGAGGGCAACTGTGCCCCCCCAGGAGACATGTGGCAATGTCTAGAGACATCTTAGGTTGTCACAGCTTGGGTGGGGAGGGGCTACCAACATCTTATGGGTAGAGGCCAGGGAGACTGTGAACAGCCTACAAAGCTCAGGACAGATCCCTGCAGCAAAAGATTCTGCTGCCCCATGTACTCCACCCCGTGTACTACTGCTCAGGCTGAAGAACCCGGATCTACAGGAATCCAAGTCTCCACAGGGGCTGAGCCATGGCCAGATATCTAGGAGTCCCTGAAGGCTACCAGAGGTGATTTCCTCCAGACGTGGCAGGAGCCATTTCCTCTGGCCTGAGCCACCTCAGCCCTCAGGATCATCAGGCCCCAAGTACTGCCCCGTCCCAGGGTGCCTGGCCCCAGCCGGCTCCCAGCCCCACACAACAGGCAAGAAATGTGTCCCTAGTGCCTCCTGGTGGCCCGGCCCTAAACTACATGACTCTTCCCAGCCCAGGGTGGTGGGAGGGGAGGATGGGGACGTACCTTCTGGATGTTTAATCCAGACTAGTTGGGAATGTGGGGATTTAAGGTCATGGAAGGCGGTAGCCAATGTTTCAAACACAAATTGACATGGATTTGAATCTCAGATCTTCCACTGACCATCTGGAAGGCCTTGGACAAATCCCATGACTCTCCTGGGCCTCAGTTTCCTCATCTGGAATGGGGATGATGTTATTTACGTCACAGTTTTGTTGGGAGGATTAAATTAAGTGCATAAACAGATGAAACATACGAGATGCTTAGGATTAAATTAAGTGCATAAACAGATGAAACACACGAGATGCTTCACAAGCCTCCTCTTGGTACTTGTTATTGCTGTGCTCATAGCAATTCAGAGCCACTTGTGTTTGATGAACTTCCAGTGTACTCAGAGGGATTTTTTTCACTAACTATCAACAAATAATTTTGCTCAAAGAAATACAGATATGGGAAAGGATGCACAATATATTATCAAATGACCACAGGCCTCAGAAACATTGTATACAATGAGATCTCATTTTTTGTTTGATGTATCTATATCTGTGTGTGTGTGTGTGCGCGCGCACGCGCGCACAGAGAGCGAGAGAGAGAGAGAGAGAGAGAGAGAGAGAGAGAGAATCTTGCTTGTTACCTAGGCTGGAGTGAACACGACTCACTGCAGCCTCCACCTCCCAGGCTCAAGCAATCCTCCCACCTCAACCTTCCGAGTAGTTGGGACTACAGGCACCTGCCGTCATTTTTTAGTAAAGACAGAGTTTCAGCATATTGCGCAGACTGGTTTCGAATTCCTGGACTCAAGTGATCCTCCAACCTTAGCCTCCTAAAGTACTGGGATTACAGGTGTGAGCCACTGCACCCGGCCTGATATATTTTTAAAATATGAACACTTATAACATGTATGAGAAACAAATACCTCATTTTCTTAGTATATAAAAATCCCTAGCAGATCAACAAAAAGACAATTATCCAAGAGAAAAATAGACAAACAACTTGAATGCTTTGCCACCAGAAAAGAAATATAAACGGTCTTTGAACATATTTTTTAAATGTCCAATCTAACATACAAACAATGAATATGTAGATTAGAACTATGGTGAACACCTTTTCCCCCTATCAGCAAGGCCACGATCAAGAAGTCCAATAATACTTGGCCTTGGCTAGAATGTGGGGAAACCAGAGCTTGCGTAGGTCGCCGGTGCAAATGACGATTGGTAGGTACAACTTTAGAGAGCATTTAGACAACTAGCGTCACAATGTTTAAACGCACCTGCCCTATGACTGGGCGATTCAGTTGCTAAGAATGCATCCATCAGAAATAGCTCTGAATACATGGAAAGACTTCTGTGAAAGGGATGCTAATTGCAGCATTATTTGTTGCAGCAAAACCCTGGAAATACCTCCGTGACTATCACCAGAAAACTTGTTAGATAAATTATTATATTCAGACAATGGAATGTGCGAAGAATGCTCTTCTAGTGCTGATCTGGAAAGATCTGCCAAGGTACATTGCTAAGTTGAAAAAAACAAAATCCCAGTGCAGAACAGGGTGTGTGGTGTACTTCTATTTAGAGAAATGAGTACAGGAATCCATGCACATATTTGCTTATCTATGTTCTGGATGTCTCTGTAATGATCCCCAAGAAATGATAACCAGAATGGATTATGGGGAGGGAAGGATTAGAGGGAAAAGACCCACTGTAAATCTTTTGGTATCTTTTGAATTTTTGCATATGAATACATTCCCTCGTTAGTTTTTAAAAACTGAACTTTTTAATGCATTGATAGATGACAGAGAGAAAAATGCCTTGAAGGATATGCTCTAAGATGTCAACAGCACTTATCTCTGGGTGGCTGATGTGAATTAAAAGCGACTTTTATTTTGTTCTTTTTTATTATTTCTCTAATCAATTATTTATTTTGAGACAAGGTCTTGCTCTATCACCCAGGCTGGAGTGCAGTGATGCGATCACCACTCACTGAAACCTCTGCCTCCTGGGCTCAAGCAATCCTCCCACCTCAGCCTCCTGAGTAGCTGGGACTATAGGCACTTGCCACCATGCCCAGCTGATTTTTAATTTTAATTTTTTTTTTTTTTTTTGTAAAGACGAGGTCTCACTAAGTTGCCCAGGCTGGTCTTGAACTCCTGGGCTCAAACGATCCGTCTGTCTCAGCTTCCCAAAGTGCTAGGATCACAAGTGTGAGCCATTGTGCCTGGTCTGTTCTTTTTTAAAAATACAGAGCCAGGGTCTCACTCTGTCACCTCGGCTAGAGTACAGTGACACAATCATAGCACCCTGCAGCCTTGACCTTCTAGGCTCAAGTGATCCTCCAGCTTCAGCCTCCTGAGTAGCTGGGCCCACAGGCATGCACCACCACTTCCGGTTACAGCTTGTTCTTTTTACTTAGATTTTCTAATTTTAAAAAATAATTACCAGCCGAGTGTGATGGCTCACGCCTGTAAATCCTAGCACTCTAGGAGACCAAGGTGGGAGGATCATTCGAGCCCAGGAATTCGAGACCAGCCTAGGCAACATAGTGAAACCCCGTCTCTACTAAAAATACAAATACAAAAAAAAAAAAAAAAAAGAAATTAGCTGGGCGTGGTGGCGCTCACCTGTAGTCCCAGCTACTGAGGAGGCTGAGGCAGGAGAATTGCTTGAACCTGGGAGGCAGAGGTTGCAGTGAGCCCAGATGACTGGGTGACAGAGTGAGACTTCGTCATAAAATACAATACAATACAATACAATACAATACAATACAATACAATACAATACAATATTATCAAGGTATATTCAGATAATTGAAAAAAAAATTAAGTAAGTAAACACCTCAGTGTTCTCTTGGTAGTCAGGGGAAAACTAACTTCTACATGAAAAAAAGAAAAGACCAAAAAACACATACACTTTTCTAAACAGGCAGATTGTTTTCATTGCCAAGGACATTTACAGAGACTGAGGTCAGGTGGTTGGAAATACATTCTATGAAAAATCGAGAATTAATACAACTGTCCTACCATACACTTTCTGGGCATCAAAACGCCAAGCTTCTAACTCAGATCTGAGTTCAAATTCTGACTGCCACTTACTAACTGGGCAAGTTGCTCCTACGCTGTTGGCCTGTTTCCTCATCTGCAGTCTGAGACCACATTGCTGCTGGCAGGCTCGAGCGAGATCATGCCTGTGAAGTGCTTGGCTCAGGCGTACTCAGAGACTCAGTTCAAACAGGGAACAGGCAGAAATTCTGCATCCCCCAAGGGTAACAGGGCGGAGGGAGGACAGGAGGGGCCCCTTTGCCAGACTGAGAATCAATGTGCAACTAGCTGGGCCCCGAGTCCCTCACAAACCGGCCAGCTCAGAGGGTCTTCCGACAGTTTGGAGAGAGTGACACCAAGTGGCCAAGTCTGAAACTACACCTTCGAGCCGGAGGGTTAGAATCTCTCTCCCCAAACCCCCTCCAGGTGCGGTCCTGAGCCAGGCACTGAACTTTCCTGAATCTCAGTATTTTTTCAGCTGTGAAATGGAGGCAATGCTGCCTACCTGGCAGAGAGGAGGTGGAAATTAAATGAAGTAACCCGCAGAGAGTCTCTCCAGGACCGCCATGTTGCACAACTTCAGGGGCCCCATTCATGAAATTGTGCAAGGCAGCGGCACCCCTAACAGGTGACTGTCATATTATCATCACTCCCGCAAACACCGAGCTTCCTTCTGTACTCCCCTAGAGCGATTCTGAAGCCGGGTCTTCCAGAGTGCAGACCAAGTACCAGTGGGGATTCATGGGGAGATCTTGGTGGGCACAGCACCCCAGTATGGAATAACATTTCATTCTCTGTCAATCATTCTGATCGCATCTAGGCGGCAGTCTCAGTTTGATAGGAACACGACGTTAATGCCTAACACTCATCTGCCTCCCTTCCGAACTTTCTGTTTGAGAGTGGGCCTCAGACTTAGTGCCTTCAGAAGGCAAAATTATTTGGCTAGAATTTAATAAAGTTACATGTTTTCATAATACTTACTTTTTGTGGTCACTTTCTATTGAGAGCAAGTGGTGCTGGTTTTCCCCTTACAGTAGATGTGGTAGATTGTATTATTGTCGAAGTATTTATCCCATTGGCAATTCCCTGGTGACCCTCCCGACTGAAGTCAGGCTTGGCTGTGTGACTTCCTCTAGGCAACAGAGTGTGAGCTAAACTTTTGAGAAGTGGCTTTGTCGTGTGGTTTCTCTCTGCTATGGGAATAGCCTGCCCCAGGAATGGGCTGTACCTTTAACCTATGACCCAGAGCAGAGCTGCAGCGACCCGCAACCAATAAATAATGAGACAGTAACTGAGGATTCACATCCTCAATCTGAATAAGAAATCGACCTTTGTCATTAACGAGCTCCTGAGATGCTGGGACTGTTTGTTACTGCAGTAAAACATAGCTCGAGTTGCCTGATGCAGTAGAGATATCAAGTTTCCTTTAAAAGTAAATATACTGGGCCGGGCGCGGTGGCTTATGCCTGTAATCCCAGCACTTTGGGAGGCCAAGGAGGGGATCATGAGGTCAGGAGTTCGAGACCATCTAGGCCAACATGGTGAAACCCTGTCTCTACTAAAAATACAAAAATTAGCTGGGTGTGGTGGCACGTGCCTGTACTCTCAGCTACTCAGGAGGCTGAGGCAGGAGAATCACTTGAACCCAGGAGGCGGAGGCTGTAGTGAGCCGAGATTGCACCACTGCACTCCAGCCTGGGCGACAGAGCAAGACTCTGTCTCAAAAAATAATAGATAGATAGATAAATAAATAAATAAATAAATAAACTGGCCTGGTGCAGTGGCTCACACCTGTAATCCCAGCACTTTGGGAGGCCGAGGCAGGCAGATTATCTGAGGTCAGGAGTTTGAAACCAGCCTGGGCAATATGGTGAAACCCATCTCTACTAAAAATACAAAAAAAATTAGCCAGGCATGATGGTACACTCTTGTAGTCCCAGCTACTATGGAGGCTGAGGTGGGAGGATAGCTTGAACCCAGGAGGCGGAGGTTGCATTGAGCTGAGATTGCGCCACTGCACTCCAGCCTGGGCAACAGAGCGAGACTCTATCTAAAAAATTAATAATAAATAAATAAATAAATAAATAAACTGGCCTGATGCAGTGGTTCATGCCTTTGGGAGTCAGCACTTTGGAAGGCCAAGGCCGGTGGATTACCTGAGGTCAGGAGTTTGAGACCAGCCTGGACAACATGGTGTAACCCCTGCATACTCCTGCCCTCCTTATCCTGTTTGGTTTTTGCTGTTGTTGTTATTGTTGTTGTTATTGTTTGTTGTTTGGTTGGTTTTTTGAGACAGAGTCTCGCTCTGTCGCCCAGGCTGGAGTGCAGTGGCATGACCTCAGCTCACTGCAACCTCCACCTCCTGGGTTCAAGCAATTCCTCTGCCTCAGTCTTCAGAGTAGCTGGGATTACAAGCACCTGCCACCAGGCCTACCTAATTTTTTGTATTTTTAGTAGAGATGGGATTTTACCATGTTGGTCAGACCGGTCTTGAACTCCTGACCTCAAGTGATCCATCTGCCTCGGCCTCCCAAAGTGCAGGGATTACAGATGTGAGCCATCACACCAGGCCTTTGCTGTTTTGTTTTGTTTTTTGCTCCATATCACCTATCATCCTCGATCATATTTCACATGTATTTGTTTATTTTCTGTATCCCTGTCCCCATTACAATATCCTCCTTGCCTCCTTAAAGGCAAGGATTTTGAGGGTTTGGGGTTCCCCCCCCACTTTATAGCCCAGTGCCTAGAACACTGCCCGGCACATAGTAGGTGCTCAGTAAGTATTTGCTGAATGAAGGAATGAGTACACGATGGCAAACGTAGACAACAGCAGCTCCAGGCCCGTGCTGCACTAGCTTCAAGTCCAGCTGAAAATACTTCTCTTTCAGCTGGGTGCAGTAGTTCATGCCTATAATCCCAGCACTTTGGGAGGCTGAGGCCGGCAGGTCACTTGAGGTCAGGAGTTCAAAACTAACCTGGTCAACATGGTGAAACCGTGTCTCTACTAAAAATACAAAAAGATTAGCCAGGCATGGTGGCAGACGCCTGTAATCCCAGCTACTTGGGAGGCTGAGGCACGAGAATCGCTTGAGGCCTGGGAGGCAGAGGTTGCAGTGAGCCGAGATCACTCCACTGCACTCCAGCCTGGGTGACAAAGCAAGTCTCTGCCTCAAAAACAAAAAACAAAAAACCTCTTTCCCAGTGTTCTGAAAAAAGTACAGGATTGAATCCTTGGAATGGAGCACACTGATTATCAGGCCTGGGTCGGATGCCTGTATTCAAAGCCAGAAGTAGGCTCAGCCCCATTTAACCAGGTGAACTGACAATGAGCCAGGAGTCTTCTCTGCAAAAACTGTGATGCTGTTACAGAGGCCGAGGAAATGGGAGCCAGGGAGGTAAAAACAATAGTCACCCATCACAAGAAGGAGGCTTATTCACCCATCTGAGTGCCTAGGACTTAGTATGGGTCCCATGAATAATTTGTGTTCATTTTCCTTCTTTCCTTATTTGGAATCAAGTTGTATTCAGGTGGTGGTGGGGGCAGGGATAGTCTGTTAATACCAAAGATTAGACTAGTATAAGGGGCAGGCGATTCAGGCCCTCCCTGGACACCAACATATCTATGGAATTAAAATACTGCTGAAAAAAAGTAGACGCCTAGAGCCAAAAAAAATCTTGGTTTTTCTACATGTAACTTCTTACATAATCAGCAAAATATTAATTAACCTCTCTTCTGACACTGACAAAGACACCCTTGAGAAGAAATTTAAAAAGAAACGTTGTTGGCTCCAATCTATTGCTGTTGATTAGTTTGTAATCCCACATGTGCTTATTGCATTATGCAACCATAAGGCATATCACAAACCCCAAGACCAGCCAAGTGGGCCTCCTGAAATTGGCAGTCATGGTCAGCTAAAATTCTGAAACCGTATGGCACAGTGCTGCTATTGGGAATGAGTAATCTATTTTGTTCCAGAATCTAAATTCTAAGCTCTTTAATAATGCCTCCAGTTGTAGAGTCTGAGAATTGTCCCCAGTATCAGTTTTTCCCTTCTCCAGTGATAAATGCTCCATGGAAACACATGGCTGGTTGCAATAAAGACTACATTTCCCAGCCTCCCTTGTAGCAAGAAGTGGCCATGTGACTGAGGTATGGCCAATGACATGTGAGCAGAACATGGGACTGGCATTTGGTGATCAGGCATTTGGACCTCTGGATGGGGTCAACATGCTGGTGAGAATGGGACAACAAGTTAGGGGCCCAAGCCTCTGACAACTTTCTGGTACAGAGCCACCCACCCATCTCAGACATCCCTGTGAAAAACAAATAAATGCTTATCATATTTCAGTCTCTTATTTTGTCTCTGGGCCCCACAGATGAAATTATATTCTAATAATACACCTCTAAAGAAGTTGGCCTGGCATATATAAATAAAGTTCTTTCTCCTTTTCTTTTCTTCCTCCTCCTTCTCTTCCTTCTTTCTCCTTCTCCTTCTTCTTCTTCTCCTCTTTCTCCTCCTCCTCTTCCTCCTCCTTCTTCTCTTCTTCTTGATTTTTCTTCTTTTGGTTTGTTGGTATTTTTTTGAAACAGAGTCTTGCTTGACACCCAGGCTTGAGTCCAGTGGTGTGATCATAGCTCACTGCAGCCTTGAACTCCTTGGCTCAAGTGATCCAACTTGGCCTCTTGAGTAGCTGAGACTATAGGCGTGCACCACCGTGCCTGGCTAATTTTCTTTGTAAAATTTTCTTTTTTTTTTTTTTTTTTTTTTTTTGAGACGGAGTCTCGCTCTGTCTCCTGGGCTGGAGTGCAGTGGCCGGATCTCAGCTCACTGCAAGCTCCGCCTCCCGGGTTCACGCCATTCTCCTGCCTCAGCCTCCCGAGTAGCTGGGACTACAGGCGCCGCCACCTCGCCCGGCTAGTTTTTTTTGTATTTTTTTTTTTTAGTAGAGACGGGGTTTCACCCTGTTTGTCAGGATGGTCTCGATCTCCTGACCTCGTGATCCACCTGTCTCGGCCTCCCAAAGTGCTGGGATTACAGGCTTGAGCCACCGCGCCCGGCCGTAAAATTTTCTTTAGAGATGCAGTCTCACTGTGTTTCCCAGGCTGGTCTCAAACTCCTGGACTCAGGTGATCCTCCCTCCTTGGCTTCCCAAAGTGCCTGGGATTACAGATGTGATCCACCGCACTTGGCCTTCTTTTTTTTCATTTTTATTTTTTAACAGAAGGAAGTATACAAGTTTGATTCACTTATATCAGTTTATTCCTGTTCAATAAATACTTAAGACCTTCTAAAGGAAGATGCCTGCCAAGGAGGCCCCTATGTTATAGCAGCATTAAAAAAGTAACAATAACTTGGCCAGGCACAGTGGCTCACACCTGTAATCTCAGCAATTTGGGAGGCCAAGGTGGGAGGATTGCTTGAGCCCAGGAGTTCAAGACCAGCCCGGACAACATAACGAGAACTCTTCTCTATTAAAAATAAATAAATAAATAAAACCTACTCTTTGGCACCTTTAGCTTAAGTCCTCCAGGGAGCTGGTTTCCAAAGCTGGCTGACTATCAGCAGCATATGGGGAGTCTTAGACTCCTGGACCTTGGCCCGTTCATTGGAAGAAGTAGGACATTGGAAATTTGTAATTTTAAAAACACTCCCCTTCTTACCAGCTGTGTGACTTTGGGCAAGTGATTTAACTTCCGAGTGCTGCCATTTCCTTATCAGTGAAATGGGGACAATAATCATACCTACCACATAGGTCTGTTGTGGGCGTGAATGTATTTCATATGTACAAAGCCCTGAGCATAGTGCCTGGAACAGAGCAAGATCTCTATGTGTGAGTTATCATTATGTCTGTTGGTGGGAATATAGATTAATGCAAACTGGCCGGGTGCCATGGCTCACACCTGTAATCCCAGCACTTTAGGAGGCCAAGGTGGGAGGATCACTTCAGCCCAAGAGTTCAAGACCAGCCTCTGCAACATAGCTAGACCTCGCCTCTACAAGAAATTAAAAAAAAAAAAATAGCCAGACGTGGTGGGGCATGCGTGTGGTCCCAACTACTTGGGAGCCTGAAGTGGGAGGATCACATGAGTCCAGGAGGTCAAGGCTAAAGTGAGTTGTGATTGTGCCACTGCACTCCAGCTTGGGTGACAGAGTGAAACCCTGTCTCAAACAAAATAAAACAAACAAAAATTGATGCACAATTTCTGGAGGACAGTTTGTGCTATCTACCAAAGTATTAAATATGTACTCTTTGACCCAGCAACATGGTAGCTCATCCAGGGCACAAGAATGCTCATTACAGCTTAGATTTATTCAACAAGT